GCATGACTCTATGTATCTTCTATGTCTAATTGTATATCTTGATTAATAGAAGTATTTGAAAAATAAGTATGAAAGTGTTGAGGTAATTACATACAATCAAAATTAAAATTGTTTATCATTGCATTCGATAGAAAGATCATTAGCTTTGCTCAAAGTTTGAAGATTAAGTAAGTTGAATAATAATTTTTACATACCATATCATAACTTGTAAAAAAAATTGGCAAATAAATATAATACATTCTACTTTATATCACTTACAACTTATCAAGATTGTGATGCATAAGTTAACATAAATTAATATTTTTACCATAAAAATTTAGATTTTATTGGTTACTATATATATTACAACAATGTCTCTATAAATGAATCAAAACTTTTCCATAAATGCAATAAGTTATCAAATATAAGACCTTATTTTTCTAAAAAATCATATAAACTAACAAATTGAAAATCTAATAATTTAAGATTATATAATAAAAATAAATAAATATTCTTGAGTTAAATGATTAAAAGGTTGGAGTTGAATTAAAATTTGTAATTGGTTGATAAATCCTCAAAATTTGGATCTACTACTGTTAAACTTCTTTAAAAGAGTAATATATTTTTTTAACTAGTGTACTTGCATAAGTTACTTAAAATGGTGAAATTTTTATAGAAATTCATACCATCCTTATATCTTTATAATTAACCATGCTTGATATTAATTTAGATGGTAGACATAATTGATATGTAATAAATATTAAATTTTTTATGTATCAAATTATGTACAAAAAAATTCAAATATTTGAAATATAGAAATTTCAAATCATCTATAAAATAAAATAAATTAATAAATAATAATTAAAAAATATAGAATTTATAAAAATATTTTCAAAAAATATATAATAAATAATTATATATATTTTTTGATTATTTTAAGATTTTTATTTTAAAAATTAAAATTATAAACATATATATATATATATATATATAGTCTCATAAAACAAAAGAAATTTTAAAATTGGATTTTTAATTAGTTCTAGTTGATTTGGTATTTTTATGTCATTTTCTCTTTTTTTATGTGATATGATTTTGGTTATCATGACTAATATCTAATATAACTCTCTTTTATTATATTTTACTTATAAAAAATTTATACATGGTAATTAATAGAGAAGAGAGACATGCAAAAATAAATAAATAATTAAAAACATCAAAAAATCATTAACATAAAAAACATTCAAATTTTAAAATTTTAAAAATTATTATGACTTTTCTAGAAAATAGGATCTCTAATTTTTATTTCATTCGTATAAAAAAATATGAAGTATATTTTAAGTAGTTTTAATTTAACATTATAATTTTAAAAATATTATAAAACTTTTTTATTTTATTTAGGATCAGTATAGGATTAATTTAGAATTATTAGTGATTTTTAGAATATATTTTTAATACTTTTATAATTAATAATTTCACAAAATTTTAGAGGCTATTACAAAAAATTGGAGTAAGATTTAAGGGCATTGAAACTTCTCTAAGGTAATTGGATGATTTAAACATTAAAAAACTCAAATTTTTAAAAAAGAACATTATTAGAAGGCACTAATGTAATCAAAAGTTAGTATGAAATTAGATATATCAGCTACATATAGCAACCAATACATAAGAATATAAGACAAAGGCCTCAAAGCTCCTTTGGGACACCTTATATACTACTTGAAAGCCTTAGTAAGGCTCAAATTCTTGACCATATAATTAAGTTGAATTTTAGGTAAATTATCAATTAAGTAATTTTATAAATTTTATCTCTTACTTTTTAGTTTTCCATAACTTTGAAATACAACTAAAATATCTTATACTTGTTAGTTTTGAAAATACAATAATTTAAAATAGATCTATGAGCTTCTAGTTTAGAACTTACACTTTTATTTAGTTTATTGCATAAGCAATAATTTTTTTTTAAATCTAAAAACTATAAATGAAAAGAAAAAAAAACAAAACAAAACAAAACAAAACAAAAAATAAAAACAAAAAATCTATATGAATTGCAAAAAAAGATATTAAATTAGAAAAGTTAAATAACCCACAAAACTAAAAATATGATGATACTTAGATTTCTTACAAGATTAAAGTATACTTGTTTTACTTCTTTATTTATAATATGACAAATTTCCCTTAGAAAGATTTTAAATGCAGCTCTGAGATATGAAAATATTTTATAATTCTAAAGAATCCTATATAGAAACTTCTAAAGAACTAAAGGTCTTAAGTAATAATAAGAAAATAATAATAATAAAATTATCGAAGCTTTTAGAAAATTATGGACTATTTTTAAGAGCTTCTTAGACAATAATGGAAGCTTTTAAAATACTGTAGATTATTCTTAAGAGACTTTTAAACAATAGTATAATCTTCTAGAATCTAATAAAATATTGCAAGAGATTTGAGAAGTCTCTAAAAATCTATAAAAAGTGGTCTGAGTTTCTAGAAGGTTTTTAACAATTTTAGAATGTTTAGAATATTCTAAAAAGTACTTGATATATGTTTGTGATAGAAATGAAACATCTCAATTCTAACAATATAAGTTTTATAACAATCTAAGCATTACATTATTTTTTACTCTTGTATCTAATATGAATTTTAGTTTAATATGTATGTCTTCTTCTTCTTCTTTTTTCTTTAATTTTCATGATCTCTTTTCTTTAAATGGCTAGTAATTATTAAAATTGTCATTTTTATATCTTATTTTTTTAAGTAAAATTTGATAGACTTCCTTTCATATTACATTCAATACTTTTAACCATTTTACCTCTTCTTATTTGAAGAAGCTCTTCTTGTTTGAACAAGCTACAAACAATTAAGTTAATCAGATAAACTTTAGTGAGTTTTTATGTATGTATGTATGTATTTATTTTTTTATTTAATGATGCATCTATTAATCCTTTGTATTTGAAAAAAAAAAAAAAAAAAAAAAAAAAAAAAACCCATATATTTAAAAAAACTCACTCTTTTGTAATAATCAAGAAAATATATAACAATTAATATATTATTGAAATAAAATCTATTTTTTCTAAAGATAAATAGGAGAACAAACATTTGCATTCAAACATATAACTTTGATTATTAAGGTTTGATATGGATTTCGATTGCATATATATATATATATATATATATATATATAATAACAAAAAATAAAAATAAAAATAAAAAGAGTCTTGGCACACCACACCATGTTTTGCTCTCATCTTAAACCCACCATAAATGTGTTTATGTCATGTAAATAGATGGCCTCCTGTAAGTAATACAGTAAATAAATGAATAAATAAATAAATAAATAAAGTGGGAGGCAAAAAGTAAAGTACACACAGAGGTGTGGAAAGTAGGATGAAACTTGATATCGTGAGGAGAAACTCCAAAACAAATGAAGAAGAATTAAAGAAGATAGAACGAACGGGTAAACGAATGGATGAATCAATGACGCGAGCGAACAAATGAATAGACACTGGAATGAATAACGTGGGTGAATGAATGAAATATGGACGAAGCGAACGAAAAACGAATGAAAGAACAAAAGAACATTGGCATGGACGAATGAACGATGAACGAACGAGGGTGAGAACGAAGAAAGGAAGAAGCGGACGAGAAAGGATGGGTAGGACGAGAACGAGGACGAGGAGAGCTCGTTCTGACAAGACGAGGCAGGTTTAAAGAGCTCTGACTTAACCACGTGAACACCTGGGGTGGGTGGTGGGGGCAGCAGGGGAGACACACTGTCAGAGAGGCTTTAAATTGAGATTGTGAAAGATGGGTTGTGTCTGAGACTTGGTAAAAATATAATCATAAAAACAATACTAACAACCAAACAAACATAAAAACAAAGAGAACAACAACAACAACAAAAAAAACAACAATAATAATAATAACGGAAAAGAGAAAGAGAAGGGAAGAGAAGCTTGTGCATGATGAGCCTGGAGCACAGAAGGTTGAAGGAGGTGTGCGACCTTCCAAGGCAGTGGGATCATCAAACCTTGTCTTTGTTCCAGTCAGCTTCGGCGTTGCTCGAAGAGTTCCCACAAAAACCCAAGCATGCCATGAGTTTTTTTGCCTGCACGCAGATCAAATTGTCGCTGGAGCTTGGAGAGCTTGTCGTATACGGGTTTACCCTGACGGTGTCAGCAAAGGGGCACGTATCATTGGCCTCATCCGAATGCGTTGGCGGAGTCAGTGATGCTGATCACTTCTTCCCTCCATGTGTCTCTGCAGGGTTGCTCACACACACACACACACTGATTGCTATCCCACATTGGCCAGGGCAACACGATTCCCTTTCTTCACACTCATCACTCACTAACACGACAAATCAGTCGCTGCAAGTCTCTCAACTCAAGCCACCCCAAAGTGAATGCCATGAAATGAGTGGAAATTGCAACAAAAAGATTACTCTGACAAGTTGATGCGGCTGTCACCAGGAACTGTGGTAGGTATGATCGGGGTGCTCTGGAGTCAAATAGTGATGACCTCTCACTTGTTTCCTGCTTTTTGTACTTAGAGGTAATTCCACACTTTCACCAGAACCTCGCCAGATCAATTCAAGATCGGAACATAGACATCGAAGGATGAAATATGGTTGATAACTTCGGTGACTTAGGTTTGGAACGACAAGCACAGGAGTGTATCAATTTTTATCTTGCTTTACCGGCCCCACTAAATGGTTCACACCACACAATTCACACCAAACCAAGTAGACAGAATCAAGTAAGGCAACAGCAACATCTAAGATGGAAGATCCACATCAAACCTATCCAAATCCATTGATGAGTTAGTTTAAACTTTGCTGAGAAAATTCCAAGTTATAGATTGAGGCTGCAAATTGAATTTCTATTAGGTGATCGTTCAATGTAAGAATATTTTTACTACACGTATATAAAATAAATGAAGACAGCTGAAATTGGTGCATTAATCGTTATTTATATTTTTAAATTTTGTTTGGACACAATGACAAGTGATGGGCATGATGTGCATGATGGGCGAAATAAAATTCATTGAAAGTTTACGGATATTGTTCTTCTGAAGTAGAATAGCTCCTGTTTTGTAAGACAGTTGAAAGGATGCGCAGACATACATCAAGCTTGATGACTTGCAATATTTCCAACGACGTATCAAAAACTATGCAAGATTTTCATTCCTCAATACCTGCAAGCATCACGCTTTTCACTTTCCAAGAAAGCATGTAGATAACAAAAGCACATGATTTGGTGTTCTGAAAAACGTCACACCCAACTCGTAGGATATGTCGTAAGGAACTTGTGAACGAGTAAGAAAAACCCAACTCGTAGGATATGTCGTAAGGAACTTGTGAACGAGTAAGAAAAACCCAACTCACGTCGAGACTCGGCACGAATCATTTCCCATACCAGTTAAGAGAAATGCTGATATATAGTCCAATAACCGAGGATCCAGTTCCATAGTCAATAATGATGTGCAGAAGTTCCTTCCTTCCGTATGTAGGCTGCGACAAGAAATCTACAAGCCTGAACAATCGTATCGCTTACGGTTATGGCATTAGCGAGAACCAACGGTTTAAAAAATTGCATTCAAGAGGAAAAGAAAGTTTGCTACAAAACAACGCACATCGATCTCACGATCTCTTCCTCTCACCTTCTAGCTCAATGAATTCGTGTTTGCATAGTCAGTAACGTAGTTCACCCTCCAGCAGCTGCGCCACATTCTTTAAAGATAATGAGTTTGTCATACAATCCAGCACTGCATGGCAATCACCGGCACCCTCATTTACAATTGCCACTCTCTTTGTTTCCGCCCATAATTTAGCTTCAGGGTTCATTCAACAGATGTGTATCTGGAACACTTACTGTCCGCTGGCCTCTCTCCGAACAGCAGCAAGTAAGCCTTCCGTCAACCTCTGCACATGCAACAGCTGCAAGGCACAGGGGTTTTAAGGACTTCCACAGATTCCCATCGACGCCACTAGTTCCAAAGTGATGTACGTTGGGGAGTTTTCTTTTAGGTTCGAAGGCTTATAACATCAGTGAGTCCATAAGATTGGGAAAAGTGGAGTAGGAGTGTCACGATTGCGGAGGTTGTTCCCACCCGCGATGGGATGAAGGAGGTCATCTCGAATCACGTGGCAACGGAGCCCTGGTCTTGTGCCCCCTTCATCGCCCGAGTCTGCAATGGCCATGACATGTCAAGAATATGCCAGCATCTGTAAAGATCTTCAAACTCAGACTCTGTGCTTCCCCCTGTGCCACCCAACAACTCACGAGTCTCATACTCTTGTTACAACTTCGAAACTACCCTAATTAAATCCTTGCGTTCAATTTTGACTGTGATTTGAAAATTTTGCTCTCACAATTAAATTGCACGCATATGTACATCCCGAACAATGTGGGTTTGTTACCACCATTGAGAACGGATGCGATGGTCTCATGCTGTGTTATCAAGCAGTGCCAGGGTAGAATCTCTTTCATTTAGGGCTTCAGTCTTCTAAAGCCACAAAAATTCAAATAAAAGTAATTGCAAGAATGTCACTCGAGCTCTCATCTCCCAGGATGACTCAGACGAAGCTCCACAATGCTGCGTTGGCAGTCGTGCTGAAAACGAAGAAATTGTGCCAAACCTTCCAAACCCTGCGCCATAATGGAGCTAAACACCAAAACAGTATGCCCCTACTAGACGAGTGTGCACTTGACTGGAGTGAGCTTGTTATTAGCACCAAGAAAGGCTCTGAAAAAGTCCTGGATTGCAAAGACTAAGAAGGCCAGAAATAGACCCAAATGCACTGACGCCGTTCCGCAGCTGCAACGCCAGTTTCGCCATGACGCTAGGTGATCATACCCGCCAGAAATATTGAGAGCTCCCGCCTTAGGCTTCAAGGCATGATGACCGCTGGCATCAAGATAAGTAAGCTTCCATGAACGAAAGTCGTGCTCTCGAGGGATGAGTGCTTTGCTACATCCACGCAGTGCGCAAGATTAATCGTAACCACAGAAAGTGAAATAACATACTGTCAAGGCTGACGCGACACTCTCGTGTTCTACGTGGAGGAAACCTAAATCCGCATACCACTCAAGTAACTTATCTGCTTTCCTACCCAGTACACCATAGCTTTCCAACTTCTCGGTCCATACCTTCGCCAAGGCTACAAAGTGGCGAACCTGGTCTGCACCTCGTCCCCATTGCCACACATCTTCCCCCTCTTAAACTATCATTCAAGGATCTACTCTAAGTGGGTCCGACCTGACGCCTCATTCCATCCTCCAGCAACTGACTGGCTGTTCCCCTCGCGATTGGGTCGTCGTATAAGGTGGTCAATGATGTCTGAGTTGCTGGGGTGAAAGCGAGGAGGCACGACTTCGTGGTTGTCCATTGGTGGGGTTTGTTGTGGTCGCCTCCAGGGAACGGTGGTGTGTGGTAGCGGTCCGCCTCATGGTTCCCTCGCTCTGACTGTCGGAGAATAGTAGTCGACAAGGGCGTTTGCTCCGCACTCGCAGTGCCATAGTTTTTGTTGCTGGGGTTTTCCGACTTTTATGCGTCGGTGACTAGTTACTGAGGTTTTTGAGCAGGTAGTCGGTGCGTTGCGTGGTTACGGGGAATATATATACAAGTTGAGGCCTGTTGGTCAGAGAAGTAGCGTCTCGGAGTTCTGTGGCTTGAGAGTGTGGTGGCTTAGTGTTCTGGCAGGGAAGGAGGTTGGTATTGAATCAGATGATTCATGTGAAGGAGTGTGTTGATTGGTAACCAGTGGACTTTGTTGCTGTATCAACGCAAGAGCCATTATTTCATCGCCCGCCTTGACCCCCACCTCCCCTGTTCCATTGTCACAAGCTGAAACATACCTAAGCTCAGCAAACCAAAATACCTTCTACAACTTCGTATCCTATTTCTATTTTTCTTGAAATAGTGCTAAGCGAAGGTGTACTAGTTTTTGTGTTGTTTCGGTGTTTGACGAAATCCGAAGTTGGCTTCTCCGAGTTTCCAAGTTGCTTTGTGTAACCGACGCATCGGAAGTTACCACACCTTTCACCCTTTTACATACTTGGAGATGTAGCATCCTTTGACGGGGTTTTGGGACTCCTTGAATCCCTAAGTTTTTCTCTCCCAACTTGGGGTTTTCTCGTTTCTTACTGTATCTGGAGATTTTGAGAATCGTAACATAGTTCAGAAGGATCGTCACTGGGATATTTGCGGTGAGCACGATGCCGGGACTTCGGAGACACCCAGGCATCAGTTCATACACCAACTCCATCTACCATGCGGATATGCTCACTCCTCCCACCGCTATGGATCAGTATTCATGGGACCGCGACAAATCCATCATTTCTCGAAGGCCTGTAACGAGCCGGCAGGTTGTACCTCGCCCTCTTCTGTGGTTTCAGAAGGAGAGGAGAGACCAGTGCAATTATCTAGGTACCAAGGCTCCCAGCACCGCTCCTGCAGTGCCAGTGTGCCACGGCAGCAATGAAAGTGATGACCTGCAGGCCATGGTGCACGAGTTTATCGAGAATGATCCGTTGGAGTACATGGATGGAGTGGACAGCGATGGCCCTTCCCCCGGCAAGAAACTTATAGAAAATTTACAGGTTTGTCCACTCTTTCGATCCTTACTCTTAAATGCTCTTTAGCTTGTCCAAGCGTGATCGATTCCCACAGCATCAATAGTAATGACTCGAGTCGCTGTGATGTCTGAATCAATCCTTAAACCGGAAGTGGAGCCCTCGGGACTATTTAGTAGATAAGTTGGGCTTGATCTTGAATCGGGAGTAAGAGTAACTTTGAACCCCATTCCCATGTAAGCATGGGATGGGCACACGAGGCCAAGAGGGGACTGTGTGAGGAAGGAACTGTAGCCCTCCTTTATACTCGCCTCATATAGCTCTGTCTTGCATTTTTCAATTCAAGGAGGTATTGTGCCTCGGATAATCGCCCCAAAATCGTGACAATGATTTCATGTTATTTTTTTCTCCTGGTCACGTTCCGCTGTCTTGATTGAACCTATGTAGGAGGAGAAACCACTTTGACGGTTTGGGTTTGGATTCTGTAGATGCGCATAGCGCCAAGTGTGCTTGAACGAGAACTGGCGACAGAGGTGAAGCTGCTCCTGCTTTCTATCAAGGAAGACTTGGATCTCGTCTGTGACCCTGAGGGCTCTGCTTGCAAAGGGGGTTGTGTCAAGCGCTTTGTGGTCAAGCATCTCCAGGTTACCGGATACGATGCAGCTTTGCGCAAATCCAAGTGGATCAGCTCTGGCCGAGTTCCTGGAGGTCACATTCCACACCCAAATCCCTCTTGAATTCCAGTTCTTTATCTGTATTCCGGCGATCGTGTCAACGAACGGGGTTTGGTGTTGACAAGAGAGATGAACCTAGCTAGCGTTGGCATCCTCTCATACTTGATTTGTCCTGAATCTTATGCAGGCGAGTATGAGTACATTGACGTGATCATCAACGATGACCGAGAGATGGAACGGCTTATTGTGGATGTAGATTTCCCAGCTCAGTTTGAGATTGCAAGACCCAGCCAGCAATACGAAGCCGCTTTGAAGATCCTTCCTGCAGTCTTCGTCGGCTCACCAACGAAGTTGAAGCAGATCCTGCAGTTCATGTCGGAGGCTGCAAAAGCATCCTTGCGACAGAGCGATATGCATCTTCCTCCATGGCGCACATTTGTCTATATGAGTTCGAAGTGGCTATCGATGTCCGAGCGAAAGATCGACCCAGTCCCAATGTCGTCCACTAAACAACCCCGCAGCTTCCACTGGCAGGAGAACAAGACCCTCGTCTCAACCGTTGCCAAGCAATGTATGGAGCAATTGCGCCATACTAAAATGATCCTAGTTGTGGAAATGAAGTCGTCAGGCGTTGTGGCCAACCTCACACGTGGGCGAAGTTCACGTGTCAGTCCGCCCCTCCGAACCGTTGTGTAAGTAACTCGCTGCATGGCTCCAGAATGCATTGAAAACTAAAATCATTGCAGTGATCGGAATTTGTTAAATTTTTCTCGAGTACACGAGAAGAACCGAAATTTTGATACCAGTTTTGGCCGTTGAAATTTTGATACCAATTTCCCCCCTAGGCAGATTCAGGTTTAGAGTTTTAGGATTTGCGTTTGATGTTCCTAGCTGAAGCAACCCCTGGCGATAACTATGTCGGATCAGTCCAGTATGAAGAGATTTATAGAGGATGGTTGGCTACCAGCAGTTGGGACTGCAACTTGCTGATCCATACTTGAACCGAAAACACCAACATCGCGGCATACTTTCCCTGTCACTGTCATCATGGAAAGGATTCATGTTTGGCTAGATGACCTCGAAGAGTCTTAGAAGTTAGATTAACGCACGGCTTGACACTCTTGTAACTGTTTTTGAGAGACTGGGCACTTCAGCGTCCAAACTGCTGCTGCTTCGCTAGAGACTTTGCCCATTATTTTGCATTCAGCATGCTAGTAGCTTTTATTGTTCAACTAGCATCCCACCTGTCGGAACAGTGAAAATCGATATAATTGTCATGTGTAGACAGTGAGGAGGTGACCTCTACCAGAGGACCTTGCGGAAGTGAGAAAAAATCTTTTTTTTCGATTAAATGTGATGCTCCATCAAAGGCGATTGGCTGTTTCTAATTGATGCAGCTCTTTGTGAATCCTCTGTGGCTGCTTGCAGTGATTATTTTATGAGTCACCCTCATGAACCTTTCTATGCTTGATTAATTCTCAACACTTTCGTGCATTTGCGTGCTTTCTGAGGTTCTCTGTCTTGTATACTTAGTCAGTGTGAGGAAACGTGATCACATAGCGGTTCCATTACCTTCAGTGTTTGAATGTTAAATTTAATGTAGCTAAATGAGTAGTGGTCAACCACCTGTTATTGTGGGGACGAGCCATCGGATGTCTGCTGACGAAGAAATCCTACTGATGTGGGAGTGTACGTCATTTTAATTTATGAAGATCTCTGTCAAGCATGTCAAAGGAATGCATGTCTCGAAATTCAACTACTATTTAGTGACAAATCTGGCTTAGAATATACCATGTATATCCTGTAGCACTGTTATTACATGAAGTGGTACAGTTGGTTCATGAGCTCAATCAAGGTGCCAAGAGGCACAAAATGCTCAGGGCCTGACTCTGAGGTTTGTCAGTTGCTGAATTAGGGAGCGACATTCGAGTCTGCATACAGTGAAACATTAGTTGTTATACCAACAAATGTCAGCTCAGTTGTTAACTTATCATTCATTTACTGTAACTATCTCACATTCTGTGAAAGGTTCAACAATCTCTGTAAAGCCTGTGATGCACAGACGATCGTCTTGGGATGTGGAGTGAGTTGCCTGGGAATCGCGAAAATAGCTTTTCGCACCATCACAGTCATTTTGAAGAATCAGTTAATCAACTTTGATCAGATTACTGTGTGCTCTTCCCTCTGAAGTACCCGCCGATTCAATATTCGAATTTTTCATGAGCTTGCAACTTGCTCTCACACAATCTGCTCTGCTTTAGCACTTCGTTCAGCTTTGAGTAAAAGCTTATCTGATAATTGCGCATGGATAAGTGAATGGACTGATGTCGTCAAAAGTACTCAGAGTGTAAATACTTGATTACTTCATGAATTTTAATGCCAGCTTCATTGAGATTTATTATAGCTCAACGTATTGTAGTGTATATCAAGTCTTGTATACAGATCATTCTACATGAGTTTTTGTCTTATAAAAACAAAGCAGAATGCAACAAATGTTGATGATTAACTATATGATAGCATTCTATTGTTTCTTGCTTTGAAAAGATTGTTCTTAAAGCATGAAATGTATTTTATAAGTTGGTGCATGTTAACCTCATTTCAATAACAATATTTTGTAATGTTGGAATAAGTTTGTAGTTTAGCATTCCAATTCAAGAATTTGAATCATTATTAATTAAAACTTAATCCAATTTTTATAGCTATAATCATTTTTGAGCTTTTATCACCATCAAGTAAGATAAAGATATTACTTTGGCAAGTTAATGAGGACATGATTTTATTCACTTAGAGCATAAGAAGCAACTTGAGTTTCTTGTCTACTTTATACTAATTCTTGCACATTAGAGTAACCAATCAAGGTTGGTAAATATTTCATTAATTCAGCTTTAAAATAAGCTTATTGTCAAAGTATATATCAAGATTTTAATAGAAAAAAAATCAATTCACCATTGTATAGATGGATTATCAACTTCCACTTGAACACCATTATTATTGTAGTCTAATGCAAGTTAACTTTAGCTAGTGAAATAAATACCAACACACATCCTTTATTATTCTATTTATTTATTTTTCTTATTCTTCTTTTACTTTTGTAGATGGTTGTGACTATGTCACAACTAGTACCATCTATAAAACACTTCCTAAAGAAGAGAGCTTGAAGAAAAATCAAACCCTATTGAGTATGAAAGATTATGGCGCAACCATATAAACTATTGTCAATTTAGCCACCATGTAGTCTATGGAATACAAAGAAGCATATTGTGCCAAAAAGTGCCAAAGAAGGTTTTCAAATTTCTCCACAACACGCAAGTTGGGCCCTACTTGCACTTCAAAAAGAATAGTTGTGATACTTTATAAGATTGAAGGATAGATTTGATATTATCATAAAAAAATGAGGGATATATTTTCTATTGTCAAGAATATAAGAATATTCTTGATATTTCAATATATTTTAAGGATGTATATGATATTTTTTCTAAAATAAAACATAGATAGTTTCCTTCAATATATAGATATTTATTTTGTGATTTTTTGTATCCACTTCAATAACATAAAAAACTAAAAAATTAAAAAATATATATATGGAGAATGAGATGCAAATTACAATGGTACATTACCAAAACTTACAAATATTATATTTTAACCTTAGGATTTAAAAACCTTATTTTTGCTTGATTGGCCAATACATGACATCATCTTAAATAAATATCTTGTATCATTTGTTACATTAACAAACTTCATTCTATTTGATTTGAGTTTTCATCTAAATAATGTTCATTGCTATGTTTGAATCTATGTGTAATGGACATGAATATATATTTAAAAACTCACTCATTGTTTATTTTTATACAAACTATTGAATTTATTTTGTAGAAAGATTTCTAATAATGGTGATTATAAATAATAGATATAGCTCATCTTTTAAAGACTTTGTTGATTTTATTAAGTTGATATTTTCTTTCTTTTCTCAGTAATATTAAAAGAACTTAAAATGCTCCATCTAACAAAAACATTAGGTGTAGAAAAATGTAAGAAAAACAATTTTTTAAAAATCTAAAATTATGATCAAGAAGTAAAACTCATATATATATTTAAAAAATTATATATATATATTTTATATTTAATTTTATATTTAAGCTTTAAATAAAAATATATGAATAAAAAATTAATCATGTTTTTTTATTGTCAAAATAAGGATTTATTTATTTAAAAAAAACAAAAAATTAGAATTTATATTTCAACTTGAGACTAAATATTTCAAGAAATAAAATAAAATAAAAAATGATTTCATCTTTTCAATATAGTGTAAATTTGTTGACATAAATCCTTGATTTTTAACCAATTATAATTTTTTATTTTTTCTTTTAAAGCTTTGTATTTTAAATTAGAAATATAGGACTTTCTACTATGATATTCAAAATTTTACTTTGTATTAAAATTTAAAACGATAAATAATTAAACAATTTTAATATAAATAATTAAATAATTTTAATATAAATTATAAATAATAATAAATAAATAAATAAATTTATAAATATTTCTCTTATAGTATATATGTATGAGTATAAATAAATAAAACTAAATATTAAATAAAATATTATGTATAATTATACATAAATATTATAATATATATATATATATATAATTATATGTATTTTAAAATATTTAATTAAAATTAATTTTAAATGTATAAAAATGATATTTTATGTAATAATTTAAAAAATCATCTACATCTTATATATAAGAGAATGATAAAGCAATTTAAATATTTATTAAAGCAATCTATTCATCATCACAATTTTGGACATAAATAGTACAAATCTTCTTCATCATTAAGATAATAATCTATATTCAGATAAATAAAATCATCATTTTGGATGTAATTTCCAATAATTTTCAATATTTCTCAATGGTTAGTAATAATGTCTTTCTATTGTTCTTCTCCTACTTGTCTTTTAAGTATATGTGTACTTAATTTACTTCTTCATTTGATTCTAGTATATATATATATATATATATATATATATAAATTGTGTATAGTAGACAAAGGAGAGGTAATTATATATTTTACAAATTTATTATATTTTGTAATAGAAAGTAAGGTATATATGTGTGCACCACTAGAGAGGTAGTTTGAGAGCATAGAAAAAATAAAACGTACTATTGATGCATTTATATACAATCAAGGTTATGTCATATACAAATGACACTCTCATAAAGATTGTATAGATTACAAGTTTGACAAAGGAGAGATTTACTGTGAACAAAATTATCATATTCATAAATAAAATAGTGCAAGTCATCTAATAGGATGTCCATTTGTGTTTCATACTCGTTGTTTGCATAATAGTACTCAATGGCATTTGATTGTTTAAAATATTCTTCATAACCATGGAACTACTTCTTTTTTTTTAGGCCATTCATTTGCTTGCTGTTTGCAAGCAATCAATAAAAAACTAACTTTACAATTGTTAGCCATAGAAATTCTACCAAGAAATATTATTGTTGCCTTACATGAGAGTGATACTAATAGCAAAATCATTCTTTGAATTATTTACAATGAGTAATAGAAATTATGCCACATTACACTTGTTAGAGAATCACCTATTATATATCTTATAGAAACTTTACAAGGAGCTAATTGCTATTTCACTTATTCTTGTAATGAAGAAGATGAAGTTATTTGTTTATTTTTTGTACATTCCAATTATGTTCAACTTACAAAAAAATATCATTTTTCGATTGACATGGATTGCTAATACAAAATGAATAGATTAGAATGTTAATATTTTATATTTTATGAATGACAAGTTTTAATATCTCATTTATCATTGATATTGCTTTTCTCTAAGAAGAAAAAAAAATCCTTCTTTTGTTGGATATTAATCCAACTTCAATAAATACATTGAGAAATTCAATCTATTTGAATAGGTATTGATAGGAATTTAGCATTAATAAATACCATTGAATTAATATTTTTCACTTTAAATGTATTACTTTACATTTGGCATATACAAAAAAATATATTAAAAAATTACAAAAAATACTTTTAAAAAGAAGTAGACTTAGGATGGTCTTCATTCTTTGAAGATTATACCACTATGATTAGTACATATTCTATAGAACTTTTTGATTTGAAATAGACTAATCTTTATAATAAATATATTTCTATTATTGCTCATGTAACTATTGAATACTTAAAGAATACTTAGATACCACACAAGAAGAGATTTGTAAAAGCTTGGACAATTAATCTACTTCATCCCAAAAGTATTACTATATCACAAGTAGAGGTCAACATTCAGTATTAAAATCTTACTTAAAAGTCTCCATTAAAGATCTTTGAGAATTTTAAATTTTTCTCTCTTACTTTTTTGAAAATATAAGAGAATTGAAGGCTCAAGAAAGTT